ATGTAAGCAAAACATTGGTTGATCATGATAAATCATTTGCTCACGTTTTTATTTAAAAAAAAAATAAAAAGGGGCTAAACTGATTTGGAAATTATTTTTTGGAGACAATTGTAAAAATGTCACTTTTCATATGTATATTTACAAGAATGCCTATTAGGGGTGTACGGTGTTTGTATTATTTGGTCTCCCATCGTTGAGGTGCGGTCATCAAAATCGTGTTTATAGAAGAAAAAATGCGTCTGCGTTTTCGGATCTTATGACACGTTTTCAGTAAAGAGGAGGAGAGGTACAACGAGATACGGTGCTCCGTGACGTAGTGAATCTATTCCGTCTTAAACCCTGTCGATCAGACCAGACAAAAAAACCATTGATGGGGGGATTTGAGATAAAATGAATGAAAGCTAGGGTTTTTCTTTGAGATTTCTTCACGCTGATCGAAAATGGCGCTCGTGAGGAGGTTTCATACAGTTCGATCTTTGTTGCGGACAGCTGGACCTTCTTCCTTTCCGTAAGCAGTTTCCTTTTCCTTTGATTGAATTTTTGGGAGAATGCGTGAAATTGAACTAAGGAAAATTTGTATCTGTTACCATAACGTGTTATGAAATTTCCGAGTAGATTAAATCTTCGTTTATCTAAATAAAGATTCAACTCTTAGCTTCTTCATCATTTGATTTCTAGTGTTCAAAACGGAAATGAATTCTCGTGGATTCGAACTGGAGATGATTTCAGATTTGGGTGTTGGAGGAGCTATCATTCTTCTCTTTGTCACGGTAATTTTGCTCATTGCTGAATCCAGATCCCATTTCTCCATTGAATTGATTGTGAATTTGATGCTTTTGAGTGATCTAGTAACGTAATTGACATTTCCAGTTCCTGACGTTCATGGAAAAAACGGTTATTCACGCTTATTTGAAGGCCACAACGTCAACACGCATTTGCTTCGATCTACAATGGTAATCACTAGATTCATGAACGGGTGTTGTTTTATCTTAGTTTTACTACTGATCGTTGCTCTGATCATATACATGATTTGTGTTGTTTCTTAGATTGCAGAGTCTTTGCCGTTTACTAGCGACAAAAGGTCTGCTACAACACAAGTAAAGGCTCCGCCTCAACTACAGAAAACGGTGTGTTAAGTAACTCTTTCTTACATTTTTGTTTCAGATGTTAGTTATAACAAAAGAATATTTCCTATGATTTGATGTCTCACATCACTGATTACAAGTGCAGGGTGCCGTTAGAGTGTCGATGGTAAGTCCTGGATTTGTTTACGAAGCCTATGCTCTCCAGGAAAAAATCTCGATTTGGAGGAGGTAAGTTAGGCAAATCTTTTTTTTACTGTAAATATATTTTTAAAATCCTGTTTTTAACGCGAACAAGCCCTTCTCTGCACCTGGTAATCACTACAGGAAGTCCCAAGCGTAACCTAGTTATTCGGCATAGAAAGGCACTTTATAGTTTTTCTACTAAGAGTTGAGTTTATAACTACTTTCCTTTTAAATTGCAGATGTTTCACAAAAAGCGGTTGGCAAAGAACGAAAGAGGATTTTATACGGGAGGTTGAAACATCTTCATGCATTATCTTGATTGAAATATATATCCCGCAGATTAATAACATGTCAATAAATCTAAATTTCAGCTAAGAAGCGCTTACGCTATTGCAAAGTTAAGAAAGACTGGGTATTCAAAGAATAGTTTCTACATAGAAGCACTAGAGTTGTACAAAGAGGTATTTACTTATACCCTTGGTTGTGGTTTGAAATTTTTACAAATCATCATGAATTAGCTACACGGGTTTTCTTCAGATTAACATTCTGATGGCCAATGGTGACAAGAAGACAATAAGGAAAAACGTAACTGAAAGGATGTATTCTGTAAGCTATCCAACGAAGTGATTATCAG